CTCCTCGCCCCCGGATCCCCGGGTTTCCCCCCCGCCAACAGCCACCTCCCTTGCCCCCCACACCGGGTCCCGGTCTCCCGGCCCCCTTCCCCGGCCCAGTCGTACCCTGCAGCAGGCGGATCTGCCTCCACAGCCGCTCCCTTTCCTCCATCCCCGCAGAGCTCCCGCACCGCCCCGCACCGCGGCGTCATCCCCCTGCGCCGGCCCGTTGGCCGGTCACGTGAGCGCGAGCCCGTCACGTGGCGCCGGCAACCGCCGCCGTCGCTTAGCAACGGAGGCAGCCGCGGCCTACGCGGCCCGGCGGAGCCTGAGCCAGGCCCGAGGCCTCTGCCGATACCAGTCCGCCGGGCCCTAACCGGCTCCGGTTTTCCTCCCCGCCTTCAGTCCCCAGTCTGGGCTGGTCCAGCTGTCCCCAGAACAGCCTGTTGCAGCTGTCCCTAACCTCTGTCCCGTGCCTGGCCTGGTCCAGCGGTCCCCAGCCCCTGTCCTTCCCCATCTCAGCTTTTTCCATCTGTCCCCATCTCCTGTCTGAAGAGAGGATCCAGTAGTTGTTTGTATCCATAGAACCTTGAAATGTCTAATAGTGGTTTGTATTTTTAAAATATTCTATCGTAGACGGGTAGTATAACCTTGCAGGTGCTTGCTTATCTCGGATAAAGGATGGGAGGATGACACAAGGTGCCTGAAGCCGAGGCCGAAGCTCTGAAAAACCAGCCAGGACCAGGCCTGTGGTTTGGACGAACTCCAGGGGTGATCTGAACCTGCGCCGGACACAGAGGTGAAAAGTACACAGCGAGGAAGACTACTAACTTCATCCCTGAGACCCCTGTCGACCACTACCAAGAAGCACTGCGCAGACTCAGGGGGGCGGGAAGTTCATTTGCATGAGAAGCGGGGAAAGTTAATGCATATGTATAGACGTTGTGTCACACCTGTTGAATATGTATTAGTTAGAGCCATAAACACAGAATTTTGCTTTGGGTCGGGGCGCACATCTTTGGGAAGGATCCCATGTGCGTCCGGTACTGAATAAACACACCTTCTTTATAACCCTCCAAGGTTGTAAAGTCGTTGTTCCGCGCGTCACTGTCTCCATCTCAGCCTGGTCCAGCTGTCCCAATCTCCTGTCCTTCCCCATCTCAGCCTGGTCTGGCTGTCCCCATCTCCAGTCTCCATCTCAGCCTGGTCTGGCTGTCCCCAGCCCCTGTTCCCAGCCTGGGCTGCCTTGGTTGTTCCCTGTTCCCATGCCAGCCTGGTCCAACTCTCCCCATCTCCTGTCCTTCCTCATCTCAGCTTTTTCCAGCTGTCCCCATCCCCTGTCCCCATCTCAGCCTGGTCTGGCTGTCCCCAGCCCCTGTTCCCAGCCTGGGCTGCCTTGGTTGTTCCCTGTTCCCATGCCAGCCTGGTCCAACTCTCCCCATCTCCTGTCCTTCCTCATCTCAGCTTTTTCCAGCTGTCCCCATCCCCTGTCCCCATCTCAGCCTGGTCTGGCTGTCCCCATCTCCAGTCTCCATCTCAGCCTGGTCTGGCTGTCCCCAGCCTGGGCCACCGCAGCTGTCCCTTGTCCCCAGTACAGCCCAGTCTAGCTGTCCCCATCCCCTGCCCAGATTCATCCAGCCATCTCCTGACCCCAGCCCAGCCTGGTCCAACTGTCTTCATCTCCTGTCTTCATCTCGGCTTTGTCCAGCTGTCCCCATCCCCTGTCCCTACAATGGGCTATCCCTGCTGTCCCTTGTCCCCATCCCAGCCTGGTCCAACTCTCCCCATCTCCTGTCCCCATCTCCACCTGGTCCAGCTGTCTTTATCCCCTGTCCCCAGCCTTATTCAGCCATCCCCTGTCCCCATCTCCTGTCCCCTGCCCAGCCAGGACACCCTGCCTCTCTCTGCCCTCTCCCAGTGGCCCACCATTCCGCTCAGTCTGCGCCTGCAGGCACAAGGAGGAGGACTTTCTGGTGGCCCCAGAGGACCATCTCCAGCGAAGAAACTAATTTCACACATCAGCCTTGACAGTCCTTATTTCTTGTACTTCAGCTGTCATTGTTTAAAATGTTTTGCAGGAGAAATAGGCCCAAACCTGAGCTCCAAAGGTTACTTGTGGTAATGAAGGAAATCATAGAAGTTTTCGGCTTCCTGCAAGAACAGGCAAGTTTCATTCGTAATTTAAAGTCTTTGTTGTGCATTAAATGTGCTGGTAAGTTTTCAGCGGCAGCAGAGCAAAATACCTGCTACAGTCGCTGTAATTTTGAGACCTCCTCTGGGCATGGGAGTTTGCACCCTCTAATTAAGCAAGAAAAGGGGGTAAGTGGCTCTGCAAGTCACAGTTTGTAACACGTTTCATGGGCAGCTCTCAGGGAAGTTCATATTCTGCCCCATTACTCAATTCCTCCCAGATACTAGGGGCAAATCAGGAGCAAAAGGCAGTTTTCTTAGGTCAGGTCCCAGTCCCTATTCCCTAAAAGGGTTTTCTTTGACCTGAACTGTACTTCGGAGTATGTGTCCCATCCTGAAAGTCAGATATAAAAATAAATATATAAATCAGGAGTATCCACAAAGTGCAACTGACAACATAATGAGAGGAGAATATAATTTATATGGACATTATTCTTAAAGAGTTTGTTTTCTGAATAATTTCATTCTTCCCTAAGGGAATAAAACCCATAACTTTAAACGGAGCCATAAGAGAACCTCAAGTCTGCAAAGGAGATAAAAATCCAGACTAAAATTATTTTTCAAACAATTTGGGGAAAAAAAAAGCCGAGCCAAGTAGCTGCACCAGCACAAGGCTATTTCCTTCTAAACACTCCCATGATGGGAACTTTAGAAAAGCAACCGATCATCAAGCTCAAAATCGTTTAAAACAGAAGCTGTCCCATGGGACATCTCGCTTCCCGTCGCAGTCGGGGAGCTCTGCCTCTCCCAGCTGTGATCAAACAACGTCCCCAGAGCAAGCCCACGATTCGCCTGCTCAGAAAGGTAGATTTAGTAAATTATTTACAGCGCGTTTAGTGGCCTTTTAAAGCAATTCAGCAGTGGAATACAGAGAAGAGCCAGCCTGTAGGAATAAACCGCTTTGTGCGGATGGTAGCAAAGGCTTCAAAAAACAAAGCAGTCGTGGAGCCTGGCCTTTATTTGCCTCCCTGTAAAGCTCAAAGACCTCAAAAAAAAAACCCTACACCCTCTCTTGTTGCAACGCCCTGCACATATGGGAACAGGCTGGGGAGCAGGCAGGCAGAGATAGCAGATCTCCTCCCCTTCGGTGGCCTCAGATCAGCTTCAATCGATCACAAAGCCCCACCCAGAGTTTCGTAACCGCTTATAAACTGGCAGAAATTGGCACTTCTGCCAAAAGAAGCCTCCTCCGCTCCCAGCTGCTTGTTCCCTCCCTTGTGCTGGCACAAAGATCCAAGTGGCTTGCATAAATCAGCTAGAACGGGCTGCTCTGAATTAAAATTAATTCAGCACACGCAGAGGAAAAGCTAATTTTTAACACAGGGAAGCCATGTATCCACCACTCCCACAAACCCCAACCTCGGGAAAGAGTGAGCTAAAAGCAGTGTGCCCTTTTTTTGTCAATCTACACCAAAATACATCACTAGAAAAAGGCAAAGTACGGGGCAAGGCAGTGCCAGAGGGTCTTGGGCCACTCAGGATCCTCCTCGGACACTTGTTGGCTGGTCCCCATAAGGAGAGCTTTGGTGGGGTGAGGGCATCCAGAGGAGCAGGGGGCACCATTTTAAGCACGAACCAGATCTTCTCCAGAGAAGGGAGAGGAGCATCCTGCCTCGAGGCAAACAGTTGGCATAGTTTGATATATTTGCCCTGAGGTTCATGCAAAGGGCAAAGGAGGGACGAGGATGCTGCATCACCAAAATTAACACTTTTTTCCTTTTCAGCCCACCATCAGGAAGCGCTACCCATTCAGCTGCCTCACCCCTCGATGCCTGTTACAAGCAACACATCTGAAAGCTACAGGAATTCATGGCGCTTGTTCTTCTCTGCTCATAGCATTACGCTCGTATGACACTTGTTTGTAAGTCTAATTTAATTAAAAAAACAGTAAAAAGCAAGTGCAGGTTTTTGGCGCTGCGCTGGCAGGGTGTCTGCGTGTGAGAGAACGCCCCGGGGAGGGTAGCACATTTAAGAGAAATTAAATTGTCTCATTCAGCCCAGAATAAACATGGTGCTAATCCCTCTAATGGCCTTAAACATCACCCGAACTGCGGATCCAGTGACAAGCGTGCAATAGGACCCAATTAAGCCACTCACACATTTGAAATCATGGCCTCATCAGCTTTGGTTTAGTCTGGAGTCTCTCGATGGCTTTCCGTAAACTTGCTGAGACAAGCTAAACCGCCAAACTTCGTTAAGCGCTGCACCAGCAGATTGCAGAGACCTGATGACAGGGTGAGTGGGAGGCACTGGTGTTTCTGCTGCCTGCTCCCACAAGCGGGTTTACAAAGGCACAGGGATCTCTGAGGATCCCGGGATGCTCCAGCATTGCCCAAAACACCCAGCACTGCCTGTGATCCATTTGTAGGAGCAGCATGTGTGGGACAGCAGAGTAATTATTCTCTCTGGAGGCACCTGTGAGTCTCAGCTGGAGCATTACATCAAGCTTTTGGGGAGGTGTGTTCATAAAAATGTAGAAAAAATGGTGAGAATCCAGAAGGAAATAGAAAAGCAAAAGAGTAAAGGTTTTTTAAAAAAAAATCACCTATAAAGAAAAACTGAAACATTTTCAGGTTTTGATTTAAAAAAACAAAGGGGGGGGGAATAATGTTAGAAATAGATCTCTAATGTTAGAAATAGATCTCTAATTAAGTGTAATTGATGTTCACTGATGATAATAAAGGAGGAATTAGCTTAGTTTGCAGCAAAGGATAGTCAAGATACAGCTCAGGAAAAAACTTCTGATTATCCAGAGAAGGGATTATCTGGGGAAGATGGGAAGCTTTAAGGTAAATGTGTTCCTGGAGTGGTTGAGATGTGCAGAACCCTGCTGGGGGCTCTGATTTAGGTGTCCTCCTCAGCTTGTTTTCAACCTCTGTTTCTACAGTCTAGTCAGCTCCGTGGTGTGGTCCCAGCATCAGTGCTTGTGTCCTGCCTCCTTTTGTCAAAGCATTGTGAAGAAAAGAGTCCTTAAGTGAGTGCCCAGTTCCCTCCTGCACCAGAACCAACCATGGCATGGGCTCATGGGATGAGATCTGG